TTTTGAACCGTTCAGACCCCGTCACCCCGTAACAAATGGGAGGCGGACCCGTCCAATGAGAAATATTACGGGCCGTTTTTTTAGTTTTCGGACCCCGTCTTTTTACCCGTTTTTACGCTCTTGGGTATCAATTCAGAAGTAACATTTTCAGTACGCAGATGTGTCGGTGGAAGAAAATAGGGCTAATCAGATGTTGTACATATATGCTTATCAATGAAAAATAAAAGACACTTGCTTATTTTCGAAATTTCTTTCTCTTAAAAACCTTTGATCATGTGAAAGGGAGGGGAAGAGTAACCGAATGACCACTAGGAGAGGGGAAAGGATCTAAAATAATGAAAAAATTGGCCACATGGCATCCGATCAGCCTCTAAATAGATTCTCAAATGTACTTCTCAAACGTTTATTTCGACGTTCAGCATTAAATTTATTAATTGATTTTGGTGAATTTAATATTGGTACTGATGTCCATTTTACATTTGTCCATTGTTGATATTGTACATAGTGATGTTGAAAACGTTGAATTAATTTTGTTGTTGCTAATTCATCATCGTAATTTATATCAAATAGAACAATAATTGTCGGTTTTTCTGACGAAATTTTCAATATTTTATCTAAAAAATCAGTAGATAAATCTTGTTCACTTAGATAAATAATTTGTATTGTGGCATACAATTGAATTGTTTGTATTAAATGTAAATTCAATTGTTCATCAATTGTACCATGTAGATCATAGATAACATAAGATTTATTGAATGATTGTGTTGTACCGAATAATACATCAATACACGATAAACGATAAAATTGATCAGTCTGATCAAAATAAATTGATTCTTTTCTTTTATCTTTGAATATGTAAGGTAATAAATTTGTTTTACCAAATTCTATACAGGATGGACTACCAAATTGAAGATATAGACGATCATTTGTCAAACATAATGTTTCCATTAAACAATTAAAATTTATTTTATAATATAATTTTTGTTCATTATTATTCCATATATAATAGGAGAATGGAATGGGTAAATCAGTTTTTCGAATATATGTACCTAAAAATCGTTGACTTTCATTTGACATACTTTCAATCGCCATTATAATTAATAATCGTGTTGTTATACTATCAATTATAGAGGCAAATTTATTTGATTTGTTATTATTTACAATAGTTTTTGTTTTATGAATAAAATCAACATAGGTAGAAAATACACTATGTATATCAGAGAATGAATTACGTTTGAGACTATCGACAATATAGGGTGTCAATGTGAGTTCATCATTGCTAATAATATTAAAAAGTATATTAGCATTAATAGGTTCATCAATTATTGTATTAAATATTTTATCAAGTTTTCCTTCCGGTTTATCACAATATCCGTGTAATAAATTAAACCAATTAGAAATTAATTCTATATCTCTATTATCGACTGGTTGAAGATAAACACATTGTTCTGGACGTAAAAAGTGTTCAATATTGATAAAAGAGTTGACTAAAATAAAACAATAACAGTTTTCAGTCAAATGATTATTTCTCTTTTAGGGAATCTCTCTCTGGAAATTAATTTCTCTACACTACCGTGCGTTGTTGGCGTAATAATTGTCAGACGTAATGTATCATTAGCATTTCTAATTAAATTGATACAGTCTTCATGTGGCATCAATGACACATTTATGCCATTAACCTATAGAGAATATGAAAGAGAAAAAACAGATACAAATGGTTTACCCTCGATTCGTCTCTGAAAATTTTTTCTCCATTCGTCCCTTGCATAGATGATTCGTTCTTAATTGATTCTCAACTCGTCCCTCCCCGATTCGTCCCCAAATTATTACCAATTAGGAATTAGGAAGATCAGATTTATCTGTTTGTAATTAAACTACAGAAATAATCAAGAATTAGACAGTATTTCAGTCTTCTATTATTTTTCGAATTGAATAACCGTGTCTTCATAAAACGTAAACTCCATGCAGAACCGAGCATAAGTAAACGGTCTTGATCGCCTAATAAGAAAAATGTCAAATAAAAGACAATCAACCATTACGTCCGACTTACAACTTCGTCAACGAAAAGAAAACGTTGCCCCTGTTTAGTTAACGTCCATTCATATGGAAGAGATAAATCAGCTAATGACTTCGGAAGTGTTGGAAAATTTTTTATCCGTTGATGGTATAGACTTAAATCCAAACTGGACAATGATGGAAAAAAAAGACCAGTTGAAATTCCTGGATTTTCCAGTCTTGTTTTCACCACTTCTTGAGAATAAATCTTGGTAACCGATGTGATTTCTTCCCGTGCACATGTTTTCATGCGACGGACAGCTTCTTCCACGATAGTTGTTGTATCAGAAACAGGTGTGCATGTGTGAGTTTCAGGTTGTCGAAGTATAGTTATACTAGATATGCAAAGAGAGAGTGTACTGCAACATTTTCGATCTCGACATCTCCATTCTTGTGATTCCTTGTTTGTCCTTTTTTTTGGTGAACTGATATCCATTGTAACAAAGAATACCTTTTACATCTCGTTCAGATGGTGTGAATTGAAACATGGCAAGTTCAGTGTAGTTATTGTAATAGATTATGAATATACTTGACTGAAGCATGGGCTTATATATTAATCGAAGAAGGACAACAACATATAAAAAATAAAATGTTTCTATGATGGGATGGCATGATAAGAAGAGAAGAAAGATCATACGATATATAATAGAGAGTGATCCAAAGTGAACGTCATACAATACATAAGAGAAAGACGATCACTTCGTCGTGACTGAAGCTTTTGGATTAAACATAAAGTTGATTGACAATTAGGGACGAGTTGAGAATCAATTAAGAACGAATCATCTATGCAAGGGACGAATTGAGAAAAAATTTTCAGGGACGAATCGGGAGGATCCCGATACAAATAACATGAATATCTACTTAAAACCAAACCTCTAATAAATAATCATTATCTTTGATGCCAGCTTCATCAGCAACTCCATTTCTTATAATTTTAGTCAGTCGTTGTAACGACGGAATTTCGTTTGTCAATGTTAATTTCGATAAATCTATGAAATAAGGCATACAAATATTTAAAAGTACTAACGAGACAATACTTTCAACTATCCAATCTCGATTTTGTTCGTCCTTTGGTCGTAGATAGAGTATCAAAAAAAGCCTAATTGAATTTGGGTCATCAGGTGTTTTTGACCGAGTTATGTTCATTTTATGGTTTTTCACAAAAACGAGAAAAAATTCATTTCTCGACAACGAAATGACATTTAGGAGTAGCCGTTTTTTGCGGAATAGATGAACATATTCTGCAATAGTGTCAAAAGTTCCAAAGGTCTAGTCCCAATATCAACGGAGTATCGAACCTTTTTTGCCGGCGGATCCATTACACTATCGTACAGTGACCGCCAAAATTGAGCGTGTCCCTTTATTTTTAATTTTTCTCCGTCGTCATAATAGTTAGAACAAATGTGAAAAAGATTTGAACAACTGAAAGAATTTCTAATCAGATAAAGTGTATATAAAAATTCCATTAAAATTCCTCCAAGTCGGGTCTCTGAAAAATCAAGATTTTAGAAAACCGAAAAAACTCAAGTCTCGCGATTCCAACGAAAACTCTTTGTAAATAGCCCAATCGTGTAAAGATAACATTTCTAAACAAAACTAGACGTCTCCGGACTCTCCACAACAGTTTTTCATTGAACTGAACTCAATTTTACGAAAGATCCCTTCAAAAAATGAAAAATTATGCAAGAAAAAGACTTTCTTAAAAGGTGCAAAAAAAAAGTCTTTTTCTTGAAAAAAGAAAAGATATCGCTTTTCTTTCTTTTGGAACAGAAAAGGTACCACTTTCCTTTTTCTTTTTTGGGTTTTCTAAAATCTTGGTTTTTCAGAGC